TCTCAACATCCAAACTCAATCGCAAATCTTTTTTCGCTATGATTACGCGAGCAAAATATTAATAAGGCCGTGAAAAGAAACGTGGGCGAACCGATAGTGTGCATCGGGCCTTATTCGCTAATTTTAAATGCTTCTAATTAAAAAATTATTAGAGCTTGCATTTTGGTATTCAGACTTTTGTCTTAAGACAACCTCGAAAATTCACCCTTGTTTCGGTCTTTACGGGACGCCCTGTATATACCATAAAAAAATGTGAAGAATTGGGTTCAGCGAAAAATGGAATATAGATGTATTTTTTTATTAATCCGTAAAAATATTCTATTTTTTATTTATTAATAACCTTTCACGTCAGTTTTTATTTTGATTTTCACGTTGCGATCACAAATCCACACGGATCTGAAAATAAACGAGATGAGAAGAGAGCGGTCAGTCATCATATCTTTTAATTGCCACGTGCGCAATCAAAGTTTATTAAGTCAATTAAGTCATCGCGCGGCTACTCGTTATTTACGGGAAGGCTACTGTAAAACGATGTGTCTCGATGTGCGTATGCATAGAAATGAATACACTCCAGTGTCGCCACGACATGTCCCGTGGTTTTTAAATGTTTGAGAGGAATTGTACTAATTTCTTGTTTGCTGCTGCAATATACAAAATCAAGCGTTTCGTGACTCGCCCTTATGGACGGTTTCCTCCGCGGTGACTCGTTCATTAAAAATAACAGTAATGACGACAGTTTTATCGATCGCGATACGTCGCGATAAAAAAACAATTGCGGATGGATGACGTAAATTGCGAGCGGAAAGAGCGGGACTACAAATAATGTGCCGCCGCGAACGCTTAATTGCGAATTGCGCCGCCGGGATCTTTTCCAATGGGAAATTCAAAATATTTTCTCGGCAGCCGCTTTAAATACACACCCTTTAATCTTTATTATTGGAGCAAGCGAAGATTAGAGCTGCCAACTTTTCATTCAAACTTTCGCCACCATTTCCAGCGAGGCTACGTATGTACACACGGCGTTATGTGTACGACTGGGAGTTGGCGCACTTTCATAATTTGCTTTACCGTCAGCAATACAGTGTGTAAAGTCGCCGGCTATGATACGGCAAACGACGGCATGATATACGGGATAGCGTTTGATGCCTCCGATCGTAATCTATCCAGTTTAACGATCGTGTAAAAATTTAATGTTCCGCCGTACCGCGGCAATTGAAGTAGATAAGGTAGCGCTGCTGCAAAAACGTTCCACATCCCTATTAACTTTACAATCGTCCTACTTCGCTGTAATCGCCGTTTAAACCATGACAAGGACGTCGCGTTATACGCCGCGTCTACGGATGCTGCTAAACCGGTCATTAAAATCCCATGCGCAGTCTTCGGCTATATCGTCGTTTTTGCTTTATTTGCCTAACGAACACGGCCCTCGGACCCTTGACCAGTTTAAAGTGGTATGAATGTTTAATGCGACGCAACCTAGGAGTCTAGCCGCACGATCGAGCCTGAGTCGTCACAGAAACGAAGACGAAGGCGGTATTTTCAAGGTCCGCTTTCGCCGAACGTCGCTTCAATCTTAGTTCAATTTACGTTCGTTTCTTTCTAACAGTTGGAAGGAGACAAGGAACGAACTAAGCTGAGCCAAGCAACGTTGGTGACAGCGGGCCTAAAGGCCTGCGTCCACGATGCAAGTTCTAGTTTCGCGAAACGTGTAGCCAATCAGCTCTTCCGTAAAAGCTGCAAATTAATTGGACACACGTTTCTCGGGGCTAGAACTTGGACCAAGTTCCAGCATCGTGGACCCTGGCCTCGAGAGTGCGGGCAAAAATCCCGGGTTGACGGATGAGAGGGGATTTTAAGGAGTTTGAAATACAAGCCAAAAGCCAGCAGAGAACGATGGAATAACGGTGACTTTCATATATCTCTACAACTGACAAGAATTGTGCGAAACAATCGAAGCCGTAAATCCACGCATCGACGCTACGTGAACTGTGGAGGGGCGGGGGGGGGGGAGAGGTGTGTATTCTTTATTGCGGGATTCACCCTTTCTTCCGCGACGCGCTTCGCACGCCCGAGCGTTTTGTCCACAAAAAAAATATATTCCAGAAACGAAATAATTTTATTACTCGCCCCGTGTTTTCCCCCCGCGACTCGCGTGTTCTCCGACCTGCGTCCCCACCCCCGGCGGCATTCAATTCCGAACAGAACAGCCGTACCTGCGGCGTACAAACTATTATGCATTTGTGTGCGCGCGTTACACGCCGGGGGTCCATCGTTGGTTCCTGATATACACGTGAATTCACGGGTATGGGATCGGGCAGCGGCGGACAGGGGGAAGCGGAAGGGGTGCCGGGGGAGGGAGGGGGGGAGCAACCGGGAAGGACGCGCATGCAGCGGCTTTGATTTTCAGCCCGCGATACGCTACTGCCAATTATTCAGCGTACATGTTGGCCCATTGTGAATCTGTCGAGAGATGGCGGTCGATTACTGCATCCGAAGTGGAGCCGTTATGTCAATTTGCATAATGCATCGATTAAATAAACGGGTTGCGGTCCTGTCCGATGTCGTGGAGCACGACGGTGGCGAAGGGCGCCCGGCCCCGTCCTCCTCCCCCGCCGCCGCCGTCGCCCGCAAAACAACTATTGACAGGCGGCGAATTCCCGACGCCGTTCACGTCCTGTGCGTACGTCAAAATTAATGCACGCTTCCCCCCTCCCCTCCGCCGCCCCGTCTCATCTTTTTCCGGCGCTCGCGCACGCGACGCGACACGTCACATCGCGCACGATAACGATTATGAGGTTGTCGCCGATGTCGGCCCGCGCTAACTTGTCCTTCGCCATTAATTAGCGGCGTAAATCGCGCCGCGCCCGAAATTCCATCGCGTCCTTTTACCACCGTCGCCCTCCGCCCTCTCCCCCGCGCCGTGAATCAGAACGCGTCATTTGTCACTCGGCGCATCGGCCCGTACGTAACACGCCGAAATGTATATCGGGGGCCGCGCCGAATAAATTCTCCCGTCTTGCTCGATTTAGTTTCGCGTTTAATGCCGCTATTTGCCCAAGCCGTTGTTGCATGATAATTGCGGCACGATCCGACGACGTGTCCCCGCCGAATGCAATAATTCCAGACACCGGCGAACGATCGCTAATCGTATAATTATTCCCGCTCTGTTTTATTGGCACTTGCATAAATGCGCGGCGTTCCGAGAAATCAATATATCACGGCGATGATAAAGCGATATTTTTCCGCCGGGCAAGGGGACAATTTTCCTTTGGCGGAATTTTTGGAACGAGAAACGAAGTTTATCCCGGTTAAATATTGAGCCCGAAAGTGCGAATAAAATAAAACTGCTGGCTTCTCTCTTCCCCTTTTCCCCGTTCCGTTTATATCTTTGGCTAATTGATTAGATGACCGTCAGTATTCCTCGCTTACATGCAGTATTTTTGCCTGGCACGGAAAACATTTATTGATTTTCTCTCGGAGACATAGTCGCGAAGCTATCGTTGCAACTAACCGCGTTAATTAATTCAATTATTGTCAAGTCTTTATGGCACTTGTCAAAGTTCTCTGTGCGCGGCTACCGTAGATGGAAGAGAAGGGACAGTTTTATCAATACAATTTATCCGTGCAATTGTGCGCGTCACGTATCGAAATTTGTCTCGATATTTTCGTACTCTATCCAGCGTTAACGTGAAACGCTGAAACGATAACCGTTGATACCGCATCGCGATCTTAAGGTATGGTAGTTGCTTCGCGACAGTAATGCTCAAAAGTTATTCAAGACAGGAACCGGCGCTCAATTATTACAATGATGTATCTTGATGCGATATTGTTCTAAAGAATACACTTACGATCAATACATATTATAAAATAGATTCGGAAGATTATAGTTTGAGGCGCTGTTGCCACATCTCTTACACTACACTCATGTCTACTACATGATTCTTCCCATTTTTCAGTTTTAACTGTTTATATTGATGAAACGGAACGGTCATTAATTTTTATTATTTTTCCAGTTGCTCATTCTTTTTTACTTTATAACATTTGTTTCTCGTACGTAAAATGTGCCATCATTTGCGTTTGCAAACGCAAATATTAATATTTTAACACTTAATAATATGTATAAATAATGTTTCACGTGTAATAATATTACAACGAATTATATTGCTACGTGTGATAATATTTTTAACGTGTTTTACACGTTTAATATTTTGTGTAACACAGCAAACTTTAACATTTTTTTTTAGAACTTTGAGACGGTCAATTTTAATTTAATCAGTTTTATTTTGCGCGTATTAATATGTAAAGAATAAACTGTAAAAATTTCAAGCAATTCTCGCATAAATAATTTTACGAAATAACTACCTTAATTCGCACTAACGACGCGCTACAATATTTTTAGACCGAGCCGCCCGCGACACCGGAGTCCCTCGAACTTCTTTAACCGAACTGACCGCGAACCTCTTCGATTTTTCATTATTCGCGCGAATTATCTTATTCGGCCGAAATGCAAATTTCACCGAGAGAGACCGGTTGTCCGTCGTTCGCGTCACCGATACGTCGCCGGCTCATTATCCCGCGATATGGAAAGTCGACGCGAGAATCGATACGATCCTGATGGCAGGCGCGTAAATATTTTCACTATGTCGAAGGCACAGGGGGAATATCGCGAGCGTAAACATTTTCCCCCGTTACCCGCGAAAGCAGCGTAGATACTTAGCGTTAAACGTGCATATCGGCTGTACGTATAATATAATACGAGCGCGACGACGGGGAAGTTCGAAGAAGTACAGACCGAAGGCAGGGACCTTATGTAACGAGAACAGAAAACGACCTATCGATCCGGACCAATTATATTTGTTTTCCCCAATCCCATTAGCGAGCGCAAACGAGCGGAGAGGACGACCCCCTGGTTGTCTCTCTCGCGCGACTGTACGTTACGTTTCCACCCCTCTTTCTCTCCCCGCCGGGTAGGGAGCACCCAAGTTTTATCATTCACTTACGCGGCTCGTCGATGTCGCCGAGCAGAGCTTCCGCCGCGACGAACCGGGCCAGCAGGCTCATCAGCAGGAGCATCCTCTCCATTGTAAGCGGAATGAGTCCCTGGAGCTTCCGCCCCCTCGCGCGGACGACACCGTCCTCCTCCTCCTCCTCTTCCTCAAATCCCGTGCTCAAGTGGAAGCCGGCTGATAACTTTGAATGAGACGAGCGATCTCCCCGGTGATCCGTCAGGTCATCCGGGATCTCGGCTCTAACGGGCGCATCTTGTCATAAGACGGCGACACATCCGTCGCATCGATCTGAGACTCCCCGGGGCGAGTCCCCCGATCTTTCTTCGCCGGCCCCCCTCGGTAAAACGTCCGGCGTACAGTTTTAACGGGCCCCGCGCGTCGGAGCGCGGGGGGTGCTTGAGCGCCGTCGACGGGGCACGCGGCGACACGGCACCTCCTCCGCGCGCCGGCTGGAATCTCGGCGTAAAACTGCGGGATTACAAGTAAGTCGCGCGGCTCCTTAAGGGCTCTCCGCGCGCGCGATCACGCGCGTTATTTATGCACGCAAGCTCCGGCGCCGTCGTCGTCTCTAACGGGGTTACTCGATCGGGTAATCGTACATCCTCGCACAGTCTATTGGCGTTCATTTCATACACCACTAGGTCTCACACGCGCGCACGCCAACGACCCCCGTCCATCCCACGTTCCTCCGCTCTCCGTCATCGCTCGGCGATAATGACGTAATGATGTTTTCGAGAACGCGGGGCGGAGAGCTCGATGGGGCGGGCCCGCGCGGGATGACTCCGCTCGATCGCGAGCGTTAACGGGCTAACGCAGTGGACGCGCGCCGCGCGAAAAACACTTTGCTATACCGGGGGATTCACCGCCCGCCCTCGTCGCCGCGCATCCTTTCGTCCTCCGCAGAATTCACGCTGCACCGCTCGCTGGTAATTATAGCAGCGGGTCGCGAAGAAGGTAAAACGCGCTCGGGCGGCGAACGGGCATCTCTCCGGTCGCACCAGATCGATCCGACCGCGCGATTTCGGACACGGGCGCGGGGATCTATCGATCACCCCGGGCAAGAGAGCAGTCGTCCGGCTCGCGTACCAATTCTACGTTCTCTCTCCCGCCGCGAAAAATATATCTCGCTTCTCCTCGCGGCGGGGGTGGAATGCCCGTCGGCGGATTCCGCGATACCAGACCGCGAGTCTCGGGGTCAGCGGACGACGGCGGTGGCGAACTCGCGCCGAGTCTCCTCCGGAACGGGGCAGCGCGCGAGGGTGTTTCGCCGGCGGCAAGTGCCACTTTCACCTGTCGCGCGCGGATCGGCCTCCGGCCTCGACATCCCCCGCGCGAGCGCGCGAGAGATCGACGCGAATCGGCGGTTCCCAGTCCGATCCGAGGGGGGTGTCCTCGGGAAACGCGCGTGTACCCCCTGCTCGAGGTGGAAGGCGCGCTCACTGCTGCGTCGCGGCAGGCCTACTGACGGCGCCGTCGGGGCCCTCGGCTCGGCTCGGCGCGACTCGTGCGACTCCGTCACCCTCCGGCGCGGCGCGGCGGCCGCTTAAAGCGCCCGCCGATCACTTTTCATCCCCTTGGCGCCCGCGCGCCCGGCCTCGTCCTACTCCACTGCGCGCATCCCCCCCCTCTCTCTCTCTCTCTCT